TCTAAATTTTTGCTATACGACACTTTTACAACTATGATAGAGGTATCAATTTACTCCAAATCAACCCCTCAGAGCTTGTTTGGTACAATGAATAAGGGATAATTAATTCCAAAATTAAATTTGAGATGAATTTATCTCACAATTGGTTGGGATAAAATTGCAATATAATTTCGCAACTAGTTATTCCAAGATTATGATGTTATTTTTATCCCTATAGGAGGGCGGGATAATTAATCCCGAAATAATTAATCATGTGATAACTTATTAGGGGTATCAATGTGATTGAAGTCAACTTCATTTTCACTTTCCATTTGATTGAATGTACTAGTATTGACTCAAACTGAATCTATTTAGCTAGCCAAACTAAGATCACGAAATTTAATGCAACTTGCAGCCACAGCATACGACACCCTACTTTTCGATAACGATATTGATTCCTGTACCAAAACTTATAAAATAATGTTTATTTTATAAAAAAAAAAGATCATCAGAAATACGTGAAGATCAGATATTCAACCCAGAGCTGGAGAGCCAAGCAGAGGGAATCAACCATTCAAGGTCTCTACTTGGCATATTTGTCATCCGCGACAGCTTGAACACACCTCAACTGTTCCACTGCACATACATTCAATCTCCCACCAGCATAGACAAGGCAATAGTAACTTTAACGACTAAAGCTTAGAAAGATGGGAATATTATCTAATTTTTTGTTTCTACTGAGATTAAACCTCGGTTCTAGTGTTGGATCAACTTTATTAACCACTAAGCCACATCTTTGGAAGTTCATTCAAGGTTAGAAGTTATACATCCAAAGCAGTTATCAGATAGTAATTCATCAATAAAGCACTTTCACCAACAATAATGAATGAGATAACTTCAAGTTCCCAACACTAATTTCATGGCAGCTGCAAAACTTCCTAATGCAGCAAAATCACCATCTTAAGCAATTATTAGAACCGAAACAAGAAGGGGACAACCCGGTGCACTAAATTTACGTTGTGCGAGGTCCAGGGGAAGGCCTGACCACAAAGGTCAATTGTACGCAATCTTACCCTGCATCTCAGGAGACTATTTTCACGGCTCGAACCCGTGACCTCCTCCCGATCACATGGCAGCAACTTTACCAGTTACACCAAAGATCCCCTCCTTAGAACTGAAACAAGGATGACCAAAAAAAAAAAATAGCTACAGCCAAAGTGCTAATGCAAGACAAACTGCTGCATACATGGCTATTCTGTCCAATGATATTACTAGGCCTTCACATTTAATTTTAGGTGAAGCTTCAGAAGGAGCTCTCATTCAGAAAGAACCAACTCTTTGTACTAATGTTACAGATCAAGAAAGCTTCAAAATAACTAACGTCAAATGATTCCAAAAGGTGATCAATTTCTATCAAAATCCACAGTACTACAGAGAAAAGCAAAAGGAAGAAATCCCAGAAAACTTAATATAACAAACTACAGATATACACAAGCAGGATAAACTCACTTTGTTCAGAAAGAACCGGCTCTTAATCGACTTGAGACTTGAGAATGACAATCCATTTCTTAGGGGGGAATTAATGACTATCCATTTATTCTTGTTGCTCAAAGACAGACACACAACTATGATTGGGGATCAATGTTAATCCAGACAAATTTTGATGTGGCCACTTATTTGATTGAATATTGCCTAGAATTGGCTCAAACACTAAAAGGGCAGCCCGGTGCACAATCCCACGTTCACGCGGGTCCGTGTTATGGCCGCATCCCAAGGGGGTATAATGTAGGCATACTACCCTGATGCAAGCATCCGTGGTTGATTCCACAGCTCGAACACATGACCTATATTGCACCGGAGACAACTTGACTGTTGCTCCAAGGCTCCCCTATTGACTCAAACACTGAATCCATATTTTCATGTGGCCAAACTATGATCACATAGCGGACAAAGACTTACAACCACAAAATCTGTATTAGCAAATTTACCAAACCATGCCTGAGAAAATCATACTAATAGACATATAAGATCATCTTAAATTCAACTCAGCCAGGAGATCCAACAAACCAGTGAAAGCACTTAGATTGCTTGACTGCAAGCTAAGGAATCAAACAGTGAAGGATTCTATTTCTTACTATGTTGCTCGGATTCTCCGACGATGTTGCCGGGCGTGTGTCGGATCCTCCGAAAATCACGGTGCGGCATCATTTGGAGAGTCGGTGCAACATAGATTTCTTGGCACAGCCTTGCTTGTAAAATGTTACAATGAGCATCCTTCAATGAGGGTATTACATAGGCCGTACACCCAAAGCAAGAAACACAAATCAGCTAATCCTTGTCCAAAAGGAGAGGGGGGAAACTTCTATCAATAACAAATTAACAAGCAATAAAGAGACTTTAAGTTTCTTTACATTATGTTTGTGACAACTCCATACTTACAAATACTTATTGCCCTGTAACCACCTGAAGCATTTCAAAGTGATACAACGGGTAGAAGCAAAGTGTTAAGGTAGGACGACATGCTTCATATGTTGCAATTTTGTCAAAGGACATAACCAGGAATCTTATAGAACTTCAGGTTACGCTTCAAAAGGAGTTTTCATTCAGAAAGAACCAACTCTTTGTACTAAGACGCACGAGAAAAACATCAAAACAACCCATAATTTCTTTCAGCTGTATTTTTCAGAGAAAAAAGGAAATAAATCCCACAAATAAACATCAAACTTCTGATCTACAAAAAAGAACAAATCTTTTACTTAGTTTCCCCTTCTTTTTTATGATAAAATACATGGGCAGTGTTCTTGAGCCACTATTACTCACTATTTCGCCATATATTTCCTTTGGTTGCCAAAGAGTCAACTAGGACTGTATTTCTTCTCCTCTAGTGAAGTACTCTACAGAATAATTATATTCGCACAAACAAAGTCACAGACATAACATCAAAGCAAACAAACCAAAAACAACATATTTCACCTGATTAAAACCAATTTACCTGAGGAGGCGCAACTATTCATTTACCAAACTATTCTATAAATTGAGCAAGCCAATCTCAATCCAGTCACAGAAACACTAGATAAAAGACCAAAAAAAGGCCATAAACTTAATTAGAAAGGATATAAGTTATATGCACAAACTGTGAAATGATATACCATCAGTGTAATTTAACTTGTCATAACATATTATTTACCATTTATTAACGATTAGCAATCAATGCTATTAAATAAAGTCAACTGCAATTACCTTTTAAGTGACCTGATTGTGTAAATATTTTTAAATTGTCAGTGTACATAACATAAATTCTCCGAAACAAAGCAATTAGAAGGCTAGCTTGCTGAAGATCAAGTTATTAAGCTGCTGTTCACGGTCCATTACTATGATTATGGGCAAAAATTAGCCAAAGAGAAACATATCTCACCTGATAAAATCAATTTAGCAGAGGAGGCTCAAACATTTAATAACACAAACTACTCTATTAAATTAAGCAATCCAATCAGAAACCCATCACTAAAACATTACATAAAACAAAACAAAACCCACAAATTTAGATTAAATCATTTATTTCTGAGGTGCTGCTGCAAGTGCAAGGGGAGCACCAAGAAGGCTAGCTTGCTGAAGATCAAGATCATTGAGCTGTGGGGCTCGAACCCGCAGCTTCCTCCTTGACAGGATGGAGCTCTGACCAATTGAACTACAATCCCGGGGAAATACGGGATCTAGCAGAAAATTTGATTCTTTTTTCTCTCCGGAACAGGTATTTCTGAAGTACAAAGGGGATGAACTATTTAGGAGGATTAAAGAGATGCAACAATTAGGTGTTCACGGCTGCCCATCTAAACATATTTCATCAAATAACCATATTCTTCAATCACAACCCCATCACTAAAACACTGCATAAAACAAAACAAAACCCACAAATTTAAATTAAATCATTTATTTCTGGGGTGCTGCAAGAGCAGGGGAAGCACCAAGAAGGCTAGCTTGCTGCAAATCAAGATCATCGAGCTGTTGTTCACATAAAATTAGACTATTTAGGAGGATTAAAGAGATGCAAAAATTAGGTGTTCACAGCTATCAGGCTAAAAACATTTCAATTGATAAAATCAATTTACTAAAAGAGGCAGCACAAACATCAAATAACCATACTTTTCAATCACAAACCCATCACTAAAATGTTACATAAAACAAAGAAAAAACCCCACAAATTTAAATTAAATCATTTATTTCTGGAGTGCAATAGCAGCAGAAGGGGGAGCACCGAGAAGGCTAGCTTGTTGAAGATCAATTTCATTGAGCTGTTGTTCACGATCCATCACTATAATTAAAGGCAAACCCAGAACCAAAAACGTTGTCGCAACTATCCACGCAGCTTTTCCAGTGCTTTTAGCAAGTTTTTTGCCTACATACGTGGCATCACTAGCTGCTTGCTTTCCTTTGATCACTATAGATGAACGAGAAACCCTAGAGATTATGCCGTCGTTTTTGTTGCTGCTGTTTGATTTGGTCAAAGAGAAGCGTTTTCCGCCGGCAGATGCCATTGTTGAGGTGGTTGAAGAGGGAGGTTTAGGGTTTTTGCTAGCTTGAGGTTTGGGCTAAAACCCTTGTCATTTATTGAGATCTAAAGAAAACATTTATAGGAGAAATGAAAAAAAAAGTAGAAAAGCAAGCTTAAGTTTATTTTTAGAAGCATTTTATTAAACTATACTTATGTGTCTTACTTTCTTTTTTAGTTTGTTTCAAAAAAAATCTTACTTCTATATTTATTTAATAACACTTTAGTACCACAAAATTTAAGCACATTTAATACATTACACACTTCTTTAGTTTCTAACCATAATATTTTTTAGCGACAAAATAATATTTTTATAATTAGTATTATTCAACTAGAGAAAAGTTTTGGAAACGACGTTGAATTCTTAAGCTTTCATATTGACAACTCAATTCATTCGATAGGTAATGAACCAATTTGAACCATAGAGAAAATACATATACAACTTAACAAGAATATCAATTACAGTATCTATTATCCAAAAAGGAATTCTTCTAGTAGTACCGGTCATTTACCCCCTATTTTTTCTATATTTTATCAAGTGATCATGTTAGAGACAAAAACAATCATAAATAATTAAATTATGAGATCCTTCCGGATGAGCTAAGAGAATTTTATTTATTTTCTTTTGTCTTGTTAATTGAAGGGAAAAAAAGGTATAAAAATGAATAATGTCCCCTGGCAAAGACTGGTACAATTCAATTCAGTATTTTGTTCGTTCAGATTTAATTGTATTGTAGCTCTATAATTAGGATGTTATTTATCATTGGATGAACGACAGATATTGATCCTTAAAAAATATTTGAAGCAATTATGTGATAACTTTTTCTTCTTCTCAATCATTCAAGATATTATGTAAATTAATATATTACTAAATCTAATGAGTTAAATATAAATTATTAAAATGTTTAAATATTTTTTTATGAAATATTTTTAATCAAAATTGTATTTTGTTTAATTTAAAACATAAATAAATAAATATTAAAATTATTTAAAATAA